CTTCGTTGTGTTTCACTATTACTTTATACATAACATTTGGATATTGTTTTATTTTGTTTTGCAGCAGTATTAGTAGCAGCTGAAAACAAACAATGATTTCCATGGTTTGATCAATGGAAAAAATTCATACCTCAAACCCGAGCCGACGGGGGGCGCTTAGACATCCCCTGGAATACAGGGGCTTGTCAACAGACTGCGACCACCCTCCCCTCGTGCTCGAACTAGGGGATTCGCCGTCAGTTTACAAGCCCCTGTTTTCCTGAAGCATCGAGAGCGGTGTGTTTTCAAAGTCTTGCGATAAATAGACGGCATCTAGTCTAATAACTCATAGGTTTCAGCTTTATAAATCCCCCGTCACGGTGAAAACACTGATAGGTGTATTTTTGGGTATGCGATATTGCTGCATAGTGGAAAACTACATGCATTCGACTTCTTGTCTGGCCTTCTTCGGCCGCGTCCCAGGATTGCGTGCCGGTCCTCCGGCGATATAAAATAAACGTGCACTACAATTTTGAAAGAAGTAATAAATATTTTAGAATGGGATTTTAATTTGTCTATAAAATATATTTTTGGTTATGCGATTACTACATAGTGAAAAACTACATTGGTTGCGAACGTGATGAAACCACGACAACAGGTCTTGAAACAACAGGCCTTTTAAAATTTACGTTTCAATGAATCTCGCAAGTTTGTTGACAGTTTCCTCCAATAACACAATCTTGGTAATGAACCCGCGCTTCCTAGGGTTTGTTGACTTTCACACCCTATTGTTGTTTTCGCGCGTCCCCAGTCCTGTTTATGTTTACAATATCTCGCAAGTAATTGGTAGTTTGGTGACAGTTTCCTCCAATCAAATCTTGGTAATGAACCCGCGCTGCCTAGAGTTTGTTGACTTTCACACCCCATTGTTAGTTTCCCGCGTCCCCAGTTCTGTTTAGTTTTACAATAAGCTGATTAAAAATGACGGTTGTGAACATTTCAACCACTTCAGTGACTAAGACCATGGAACTATAATAGTTCCATGCTAAGACTGAAATCTACAGAAACTCTAAATTTGCGGCGAAATATTAGTAATTGTGTTTATTAAAATAATAATAAAAAAAAAACATTTCAGTGCAACGCTTTTTCTAGGGACATTGACAAATCGGTCGATGGGTCTATTTATTCTAGCTCCACTGCAACCATGGTTTATAGTTCCATGCTGCAACTAAAGCGCCATGCATACACGGAATAAATATGGTCCAAAAAGCTTTTTTTTCGCATATCGGAGAAATAGTCATTTAATACTTTTGATCTTTTGATGTATTAACAATGTACGCATAGATATTTCTTTAGGTATATGACTTGTAATGCAGCAAACTTATTACTACTAGTATGTGACATGTGTTCGGAAACTTCTCAATAGAGCTTCGGTACAGTTTCGGATTCGACTGATACGATTTTTAACCAATCACAAGGCGTTAATTTCGACCAATCAGAGAGAACCTTAACTGACCAATCGCAATGCCTGAACAATACTAATGAGTATTTTGCGGTATAAATAATGAGCGCCGGTATTTGAATCTACATTGTATATTACTTCATTCTTGAGCGAGAAGAAGAATACAGCATGGCACGTACCAAGCAAACCGCACGTAAATCTACTGGTGGTAAAGCACCACGTAAACAGTTGGCAACCAAAGCCGCCCGTAAGAGCGCACCAGCCACCGGAGGAGTGAAGAAACCTCATCGTTACAGGCCAGGTACCGTAGCTCTTCGTGAGATCCGTCGTTACCAGAAGAGCACCGAACTTCTGATCCGTAAACTACCATTCCAGCGTTTGGTCCGTGAAATCGCTCAGGATTTCAAAACCGATCTTCGTTTCCAGAGCTCTGCCGTTATGGCCCTGCAAGAAGCCAGCGAAGCCTACCTTGTCGGTCTCTTCGAGGACACCAACTTGTGCGCTATCCACGCCAAGCGTGTCACCATCATGCCCAAGGACATCCAACTCGCCCGTCGTATCCGTGGCGAGCGTGCTTAAATCGTAGGCCTAGCCATGGGGTTTATAGTTCCATGGCCTAGCAAACACAGACCAAACGGCCCTTTTCAGGGCCACCACATCCTCCAAAAAGAGAACTACCGTACTATAAGTCATACCACATACATACATATTGTAAATCATTACATCCATCTTACGGTGATGTAAAGTCCACAATTATGACAACATAGTACCAAATTCACCATTCTTGGTGAGTAATACTATCAGTTCAGAAATAAAAACTACCGTACTATTAATAGAATTACACCATTCTCCATGTTGTCGCCATCTTGTAGACATAAACTCGAATATCTCGCTCCACGATATACTACGGTATTACATTTATGTTTTTTAAATGTCACAAACTAGTCATTTACTCCTGAACCCCAAACACTCACTCTCCATCAAAAAACAAGTAGGGTACAGCACAATGTGAAATGCTTTGTCTGTGCATGAAGTTGAGGTCGAACGGGATAGGGGTCGAGGTGACTAGAAATCGTTCAAACATAGACACAATGGCCATTTCAATAACCATGGTTTTCCGTGACAGATCGAAACCGTAAACTCGCTAGTAGTTTTACTCGGTGCTCCTCCAACGAAATGTTATTGTAACGTTCAATTAAACACACATAGCCAAAATGTTTTGTTTGTTTTTTTCAGCGAAAATTAATGCCAGCTAAAATTCTATACTAAAATAAAGTATTAGTATTTTACAATACATGTACATGAAAATAGTTTATCATACACCTCGTATTGCCCGGACTCATAACGCTATTGGAAATGCGCCCTCACAGCAGGACAATAATTTCCCGTATCACGCCCGGTCCAGCGCGCCCAGCTTTCATCAATCAAATCAAAACGCGTCATTCGAAATTACGTGTGTTTGATGTGGTAAAATAAGGTGTATGATAAAACCTTCATGGGCTGGATACAGCTTTGGCTGCCCTCGGTCGTACGGCTTACGCAAGCTCAGGCAGTCCCGTTGCACGACCTCGGGCCGCAATGCCGTATCCAGTCCATAAAGAATAATAACATCTGGTAAGTTATATGTTAACATACACAGTCAAGTTGACTATGTTGATTAAAAGGGGTTATTTTGTACAAGTGAACAATCTAGTTATCACTAATTGTACTGTCTTACGCGACGTACGTGTGGGCCATCGATGGAGCTAAAAAAAGATAGCTCCATGGGCCATCATGGGCGCGTGCGCAGTGACTGGAGAACCCGTCTTCGCGCTCGAAGACAAAATAACGGCGTGTTCGCTGTTGCTGCATGTGCTTCATACGATTTAAATTATTTTAATGTTGCTGTGATTCCCAACAACAATCTTAATTGTGAAAACCCGTTTGTACCTGTTAAAGTACACGCATAAATTATTCACTGGATTTTAATTTAGCTATTTTCGACCAATATTATTTTGTTAAAATGCTGGTATTGAGTACTGTAGCGCATGGAACTATAAACCCCAGGAAGAACAACCACTTCGTTTCCTTTGAACTATGATAGTTGCCGCGATATCGAATGTTTACTTTGACTGTTTATTTCGTCGCATTAAAAGTAAGCCGATTTACGCAAATGAACGTTTATCTCCGACTATCGGTCATTTTCGGAGTCAATCGGGCGACTTCGAGAGATCACGTGATCAAGTTGTTTCGGTTATAGCATAAAAAAACAACGGCGCCAAGACAAAAACACTGATAAATGAGCGACATTCAACGGGGAAAAAAAACACATTGCCACTTCTGGCGATCGAAGGGAAACACGGAATAAGTCGGGATATCTCGACAACAAACAGCATACCAAACCCCATGTTTCGCAAACTTTCGCAACCTTATTTTTTTGAGGGTTGAAAAAACAGAAGTATGTAAAACGACATTGAAAATT